TTTTCCATTCCCACCAGCAACAAAGAAGGGCTGTCAGATTTCCACATCTTTACCAGCACTTGTTATTGTCCCTTTTTATTATTATTATTTTAATTTTTATGATTATAACCATCCTAGTAGGTAGTAAGTGGTCATTGTGGTTTTGATTTATGTTTCCCTAATGACTAATAATGTTGATCATCTTTTTATGTGCTTTTGGCCATTTGTATTTAGAGGATTATCTGTTCAGAACCTTTGCCTGTTTTTGAATTGGGTTCTCTTTTTATTGAATCAGAAGGTTTCTGGTTCCTAGGCACATACGGTGTATTTTACTCAATTTGTTTTATATCTTATCTGTCTCATTAGTAAGCTCTGTGGCAGCAGGATTTTTGTCTGTTTTGTCTCCCACTGTTTCCTAACACCTAGAACAGTGCCAGGCACGGTGTTCATGCTCTGTACATTTTTGTTGAACAAATGAACAAATAAATTGGCAGAAAACACTGAAGATTTATTTCACATTGTGATCTAATCATATTGGTACTTGATAAAGGGGGAAAAGAGGGCTTAAGGGTGTTAAGCTGTCTCTGATCATAAGAATTCAGTAGATCCCTAAGCTTATAAGTCAAGAAATAATGGTTAATGCATGCAATATCCTACATGGAGACAAAAACAGAAGAACCTGCTTTTACTCTTCTGGCTGATCAACTTAAATACACATACATACACAAATTATTTCTCCAGATTAGTGAATAAAAACAATTTTGATGAGTATTTATAAATAAGCATTGTCACACTATGTACTCTATCATATTTAAGATTTGTGTTTATGGTTTGAAGATGGACAACAAAATTGTTCCTATTTAGTGAAATAACTTCTTAACTGTATTTTGGTTTTTCCTTTTGAGATGAACAGTTTACTTTTAGGACTCTAAGTAATTACATTTTTTTAAAGAGGTTAGTTTGTGATTTTAAATTTGAGTACCAACCTGTTTAATTTTAATAAAATCATCTGATATTTGAGATGTTCAGTGGCCCAGGAATTATTTTTATTTCATTAGAATCTTCTTCCCAACCCATGGGGAATCATTTAACACATTTTGTAGGATTGGAAAAGATTTTCCACAGTTCAATTTTATTTGAAAATCAGTAGTGAAAATAAATTTAATTTAACCTTTATGAACAGGTTATGAAACTTCAGATTGATCATTTATAACCATCTTTTTTAAACCATCTTTTTATTGAGGGTATAGTCAGTTTAAAATGTGACAGTTTCTGGTGTACAACATAATGTTTCAGTCACACATTTACATACATATGTACCTTTTCGTATTCTTTTTCATTACAGATACAACCATTATAGATATAACTTCTTTATCTAACCCTCAAGTTTCTCAAATTTAACTTTCCGCCATGTTTTATAAAATAATCTTACTTTTCTATCCAACATAGACAGGGTCATCTTTATCTCAACTTAACATCTGTGTCTGTGAAACAATAAAAATTATATTGTGCTCTGATATATCTTAGAGAATGTGGTTGAAAAAAATGTATAAAGCTCTCAGATATAAATTGAAGTTTTATACTTAATATTGAGGGGGGAAAGCACAGAATCTCACTGCAGGGACCTTTTAGAACTTACTGTCCTCAAGTAGCAGGGTCCCACGGAATCCTGTAATAAGAGAACGTAGGTGAGGTTAAATGCACTACGTAAATGGACTTCTTCAAAGAAAGAAACATAATTTCTATTAAACGGGGTGGAGAATTTTCCACGCTGGCCATCTGAGCTATGGCAGAGTAAAACCTTTGGATCTGTACAGAGAGGGAGGGGACCCTTTGGGCATGGGCAGTGTTCCCAGACATCTTTCCGTGGTACTTTTGATGAGATTAGTTGAAAACTTGCAAACCTACTGCACAAGTAGAAGACATGATTTTGAATTGTAGATGCTTAATGAATTTTAGAACCTATATTTAAACTTACTTATCTGTTTTGAATTGCTTCCTTAAGTTTTTGAAAAAGAAAAAATATCTACTATTAAAACAAGTCCGTGTAACATTTGTTTTACAATAGGTTAAATCTTTTCTTCTTTTGGGAGCCAGGCCTTTTCATACTGAAACATAAGAATATACTTTAAATGCCCAAATATTACCTGATAGAATATTTGGACATTTGTCCTGTTACCTTTTTCTACTCTATCATGTTTCCCTTTGCCTCTTTGACTTCCTTTTTTATATTTGGGTTCTAAGATTAAATTATTTGGCTCACTTTGATCATTTCTTGCTTGAGTTGGAACTACTTATGACATTAATTTTCAATGTGAATTCAAGATGAGGGCTTTAAATTTTTAAAATATGATACTTTAATATTTTTAGAATTCTATGTATAAAACTGAGAGAAAAAATAAATTTGTAGTTTTTGTTCTTTACTGTGCATTTGAATCTCTGGGCTGACAACTGCTGATCCAACATAAAAATAGTTGGAACCTACATGTAACATCTAGTTTCATCTTCAGATCAGTGACTGATTTCCTTGGTAATCCATTTCAAACTTTCTTTTGAAGTTGGGAAGATGGTTTTACATTCCTCTTTGTTCTCCTTTATGGTCATAAAAGGACTCTTTCTATGAGTGTCGCCTTTGACCTTTCCTCCGATAAAACAGTTTTCTTTTTACGTAAGAACACATGAAAACGCATTTCTGTTTAAAGGTAAAATATATAGAGAAACTGAATTTAGTGTGAAGGAGAAACAAAACATTTAACTGTTTCTGCAGTTAAGCTGACCGTTCTTGTTACGGAAATGACAGGCCAGCCAAGAAACAAGCACCACTCGGAGGGTTGGAGTACTCAGATTTATTACGCCAGCGGGCTTAGAGGGGCTTCTGCTCCGAAGCTCTGAGCACCTCCAAGACGTGCGCGTGAGGTTTTATAGGGTTAACTACAAGCTTGGGGTATTTGGCCAATAGGCATGGAACAGCTTTAGCAACATCATTATCACAAAAGTAGAGGCAGGGAGGCAGGAAACCAACATTTCAAGGCCAGATATGTCTCTTTGAAAATCCAGCTGGCTAGCAAAAAAAACATGAACAGGGAATCAGCAAACCAACAATAATTAACTCAGATTTACAAGTTAGCCCAGCAGAACTCATCAGTAATCCAACACTTGTTACACTTAGATTTGTGAGTTAGCTTGTTAGCCCAGCTGGGCTTTTCCTTCACATTCTTACAGTGGTATCTGTTACTGGGAATCTAGATAGAATTCTTTCTACAGAGCAAGCTCCTTTTGTGTACTACTCTTTGGTGTAACATTAGCAAGACTACTGCAGTTACATATTAGAGCCCTTTTTCTAGGGCGTTTAAAATTTGAACAGTTCTACTTTACCATTAATACATTTCTCTCCATGTAATAAACACAATCTAAAGGAAAAGAAGTAAAATAATTATAGATTATATTTGTTATAAAGAAAATCTACCTCTATCTATGTATCTTTAATTACTGGGTGAAAATCTTGGGATTTGGCATATAATTAAGTTCACAGGTGGGCATTTTGTAATAGGGTTTTCCTATGTATTAATGCAGTTTAGTCACCCCATCCATTTATTCTAAGTAAATACTAGAGTTTATGCATATGTTTAAATTTCATGCCTTATCTGCTACAGAAGGGAAGTGAATTTAAGAGGTAAAGCATTAATTTTTATAGTTTAAATCATAACTTGTAAAGTTTCTGTATTGGTTTTTATGAATATTTTTCTCTTTAGTTATTTTGATCATGTCAGTGATGTCACCCAGCTTACTGAAACTAGCCCCTCTTCCTATTTGAATTTGTTTCTTACAACTTTGTTACAGTAGAACCCAAATAATTGTCCAAACAAGATAAAATATTGCTGACAGAAAGGCCTAAAGGTGTTCTGAGTCAAGTCTATCAGTTTCAGAATCAGCAACCTCTTCAGCTGTCTAGAATTGATGAAAATAATTGTAACAAGTAAGAGTTGGTAACAGAAAAGGTCTTATAGAGTATCTGTAATGTATGATAGTAAATGTCAACAGTTTATGGTCTTGTTTGTTCATTCTCCTGTGCTTCTGCTTTTGTTTGCCCAGAATGTGATCATAATCCTACTAAGCGTTCATGGTCCAGCCTCGACATGTCTTGTGTTGTGACTGCTGCTCCTCTTACTCCCTTGTTGCTCCTGTCATTTCTTCCAACTTCCTATCTTCTTATATCTGTGATAATACCTGATTTATCTGTTTTCCCTCAGTGCCTGGTAGAGTAAACACCAGGTGCACTGTGCTAAGTATGCATGAAATGCAAAGGTTAACGATACACTGTAGTAGTTTACTGTTTACTTTTTCTGAGTATTTCCTCTGAGTTCAGGCACTGTGCTAATTTTCATCTACATTTTATAGAGTGGGGCCAGTGAAAAACATCTGGCTAAAACAAGGATTCAGATTCAAATCTGACTCCGGAGCTGTTAACTATTTCTATCCCTTAGGAAAACAAACAAACAAAAAAACCAAATTATTATACTAGGACAAAATAGAGACTAAAAGAGGGGAGAGGTGGGTGCAGAGAAAATGATACATGAATTAAAGGTCATGATAAATATGTTATAGACTTGCATGAAATGAAGGCTGCATTCTAAGGGTGGGAAAAGATTAAGCAAAAAGACAAGATGTGGGATGTGAAACTTCATGCTATATTTGGAGAATAATAATTGGTTCAGTAGGGCTGAACCATATTCATACTAGGAGATTAAGATGGAAGCAGAAGTTGGGATCAGAGGCAATACACCTGGCATAATCGTTTCTTCTCATACTATCTTCACTATACACTGTTTGCATGCTTATCTCAGTATAAAACACTAAACGTGAATACCCAAGGCGTGACTGTAAAGGTATTCGTGGAAGTAGAACAGCCTCCTTAAAGAGCAGTAAGAACTTCTCTTAAAGCTGTAGTAAAACTTTAAAGTATTAGAAACTGAGCGCTGTGACTGTTTTTCACTGCTTAAAATAGCAGAAAGGGAGGCAGGATTGCGGTGGGTGGGGGGGTGTCGGGTCAGGGATGTCCTCACTTCGCATTTATACTAATCCAAGCCTACCAAGCTTCATTCATGACTAGTATTGTGCGGACAAATACCAGTCATCTTTCCAGGCATTCATTTTCATCTGAAAAACATGAAGTCTGTATATATGGAGGTTCCCCCTGGTGCAGCTCATAGTGTTAAAATCAGTGGCAGTGGGTAGCATGAAGGAAGAGCAGAGCGGGAAAAGTCGGTCAGGGGTGAAGAGGAAGAGCAAATATCCCTGTGACACAGCAAAATAAAACCCCAGCCAGAAAGATTAGGTTTTAATTCCTTTCGCTAGCTTCCTGACGTCACAACCCTAAAATTTGAGCGATCTGTACAGTCATATTAAAGAGGGCAATGGGAGCAGTCCACCTAGGCAGGAGGGACGTTTGCCCTCTGAAATCGCTTAGAACTACCCACATATGATGATGATGATAAAGTAGAACTAGACCAAGTCAGTTTTATTGTCCTTAAACTCTGCAAACACCCTCTTTTTGCCTGTGCTGGGGCATGCAGTTCCCACCATACCCCTTCTCGAAACACACACCCCGAAGCTTCTTTCTCTTAATTCACATGTTGGCTGCACGTGTCCTCTATGTGCCTTCCTCATTCTGTGATGACTGAGGAGCAGCCTCCATCAGGAGTGGGCAGTTCTCCTGGTGGGGGAAAAAGAGGAAGATAATTGGCAAAACCACTGATGACACATAAAGCTTCTTTTAGGAGCTAGCAGAATGTCACTTCTGCTTATGTTTCTCTGGCCAAAAAAGTGACCTGGCCAAACCTGATGTCAGTGAGGCTAAGAGGCAGACTCCTCCCACAGAGAGATCCTGCAGGTCCTGTAGCAACAAACAGTGATAATACTCTTAAAGGGAAACACATGGAATTGAGAACAGTAATACCATCTGCTGCCATAGGTTACTGTAGGTCCGGGGGATTTAAGAGTTTAAATTAATGGAAAGGATATAAAGAGTCCACCTAGAAATAAGGAATTTTTTGACTATCAGACTGATATTTGCCCAGGTGCTGATATAATAACTTTTACCATTTAAAAACGTCAGATAATCATTTTTTTCTTGAATTTTGTAAGTGTTCATGTGCGTAAAGAGCAGTGGCTTATTGTTAGCTGTGTTCTTAATAAAATACAGTAGTTAGACGACAAAGAGCCTTTCTTGGCCCAGTTCTTCATAATAAGAGAACCCAGAAAGTGATTGTAGATGGATAGGAGAGTTAGTACACAGCGGATGCCTGGGGAATGAATTCTCTGGCCGAAATCAGTGGAGAAAGGCTGGGAGGATCGTGGAAATGAATTGTGCAGTTATGGCAATAGGAAGAGAAAAGAAGTCCAGGGGTTAATACTAATCATTGTAGTGATTACAGCAAATTGTATCCTTCAGAGACTTTTCCTCCTACTGCCTTACTTGACTTACTCATTTAGAGTGCTGTTTCTATGCATAAAAAACCTCAGTGGACTTCGCTATATGTTTCCTACCCTGTCTTCTCTGCTGACACAGCACAAATCAGCACACAGCAGTGGGTTCTTGTGGAGGTAGCTAGGACTTCCTGCGCATAGTTTGGGAAATCATGGAAGAGTAAGAAAAAATGACCAGTGACCTACCTACTTTCAATTGATGGCATTAACTGAATTCTGTTTCTAACATTGGCAATGAAGAACATCAGACGCTCAAGAGCATTTGATAATTGATTTAAAATCTGTTTCATAGTGGTTCCCACATTATTTTCATACGTATAGTTAGTGAATGAAGAGGCAATATAAAACATAGAACAAAATGACTTTAAAGGGAAATTCTACTTAAAGCTTACAGGGAAATTATATCCCAGTTTTTTGTTTTGTTTTGGAAGGACTCTTAATAGCACTTTAAAATGTTATCTGCAAGTTAAAATGTAATTTAGATATGCATGATTATTCTTGAAGCTCAAAGGTTCTTTGATTACTTGTGACAGCAGATTGCTCTTGATAATAATGAAGGGTATAAGAAATAAGCTTTAAAGACCTTTTCAGTAATGAATTGCATACTTATATCTAGTTAAGGAACTGAGCACAGGCCTTCCTTGTATTTCAGTAGGTGTTTAGAAGCATAGCTAATGTTACAACATTTTAAAAGGTTATGGTGAGCAGACAGCTAGGTGAGAAAGAGGTACTTGTTTCGTGACTACTGGATATTAGATAGTCCCATTGTAGCAGTTGTTTTGTTTTGTTTTGTTTTGTTTTGTTTTGTTTTGTTTTGTTTTCCTTCTCTTCTGTAGCACTTTGCCAGTTAAAGCTAGGTGAGGCTAGATAATTTTGAAAGCTGTATTGTTCAGCAATCCCTGTTCACCAGTAAATTGGCTGAGAAAGGGGTTGTTTGCTCTAACGTTCCTCTGATAAAAAGCATCTGATTATATATGACTAATGTAGAGAACTACTTTTAGAGTAAATGTAATTTTGATGATCAATCTGAGTTTTTAAACATAGCTAATTAAAATAATATTTAAGTATTTGACTTAATGTTTAGAATCTCTTGCTAGTGGGGGGACCTAAAAGTGTTTCTGGTATAATACACATTGAACTTTTCTCCTAAGTGCTACTTACTAGGGATGAAGAAAAGAAAATGCTTACAAGTATCCTAGAATTATATCATTAGAATCTCTTTATTTATATCTCAATATTTTTTTGAGGGTAGGGGATTACTGTATGTTTAAATTTTACTTTAGAAGGTGTTTTGGGGAGGGGTTGGTTTTTTGGGGTTTTTTTTACAACTGGATGCTTTTTATTGCATAGGACAATGGTTGCAGGCCACAAAGATTCGGGAAGACCCACTGCTTGGGCCCCACAAAAGGCAGTATTCACCCTCTCAGTTAGGAGTCTTCTGGGGTTGGCGGGGATAGGCTTTTTCCCGCATGGCTCTGGTGGGAAGTCCACGACAGTACTCAGTTCAAGAGGCGCATCCGAGCCTAGCTGTAGAGGGGTGAGTGGATAAGGTGGGCCAGGCTCATTTCAGGTACCTGGGTGTGACCCTGAAGACGCGGGTGTGGATGGCCGAGTTGCTGCGAATGCGAGTCAGCGGCTCTCGCGTATCGGTCTCTGGTTCCAGCTCATCAGCAGGCTCCACGGTAGAAGTACTGGCGGCCACCTGCAAGGGCCCGAAGCTGCCAGCCTGCAGCTGGAGGGCAGTGCTGATGGCGCGGTTGATGGCCAGGCCCAGGCCGTGAATGTAGGTCTCAGTGCGCGCGTTCTGACCCCGCGCCCCTCCGTCCAGCAGCAGCTGGCAGCGGGCCAGCTGGGCCTTAAAGTCAGTCTCCGTGTTGACGTAAATGTCATCGGGCCTCCGGGGCCGACGGTGGGGAAGCCGCGTCCGCAGGGTGTTACTCCACCGGGTCCAGCTCAGTCTCCACGGCCCCGCGGGGCTCTCGGTTTTCGGCCGTGTTCTGTGCTTCTCTCCGGCCCGCAGTTTCCGCCCCGCTCCCGCGCCCGCTCCCGGCCGCTTCAGCGCAGCGCCGACCGGCCTGCAAAAGGCTGCTGCCCGCGGGCCCCAAGGAGGGAAGAGAAGAAAAGGCGCGCGCCGCAGCCCTAGCGGCACCTGGCTCCTGAAAGGGTTGCCGAGCGCCTAGAAGGTTTTTTTTTTTTAAAAGATAATTTTAATGATATTCTTGGGAATAAGCACAAAGGGACATATTTCTCTCTCTGTCATTAGATTGTGACCTTAAATGTATAGCCTAAGTTCTTATCTGATAGGCTTGATAGTATTCAAAACATTGAGTGGTGGATAGTTATATAGGAAGAATAAATATGTAATCTAAAAGCTATTCCATATTAAGTGTTGGAAATGGAAAATCAGTGTAGAATCCTCTTCATGTTATTGTTCACACTTACACAGTTTTTACATGAGAGTTCTAATTTACTCTTTCCTTTCTAATTAAATCATTTCCTTTATGTGCAATGGCAAAAAATTGGCAGTTACATCTCACTAAAGTATGTTGTCTTGAGATTGTAATTACAGGATTCTTTCTCAATTAATGGAATTCTATACTGACTGTTCAAACTTGCTATGCAAATATGAAATCTGTTTAATATTAACATATTGCCAGACTGGATACCTAGATCATTCTACTCCAGATCTTTAAACTGGGAACCTTGTTCAGAAGTGTTTAAGTTAAACTAATTGGTAAAAATGAGTGTTGGAATTTGTACTTTTAAATCAAATTAGAAAGTTAAATGGAATTCAGCATGAAATTGTATAATGGTAATAGAAGGTGGTTTTGTAACTTTTCCTCTTTTTATCTATAAACATTTAAACATATAAATTTAAACAAACTTTACAAGATCTTTTTCAGTAATAATCTAAAAAGCATTGTAAACACTCAAAATAAGCCAAGCCGATAATCAGTCTAGAAGATTGTACTGGTTTTGATTTGTAGATGAAAACTTTTGAATGTTTTCATTGGAACTCACTGTAGTTTTTTTTTTTTAAACCTTCTTTTCTTTTTTTCCCCTCTAGTATAAACACATCTTAAAATAAGTGATATGATTATGAACAGTTAATTTCTACGGAGTTTAACTAATTAGCTATTAAGTATATCACTGAGAGCCAAGGAGCAAAACAAGATTGTTTTCCTAATCATCCAAGACCCAACTGGCTTCATTACTAATGACAGTTACAGTTGATGGCTTTTTTATGTGGAACCTGAGCACTACCACTCGGTTGTATTTTGGGAGGAAAAAGAGAAATTTCTGGTTAGGTAGTTTACATCTGGGTTTTTTTGTTGTTTCCTCACATACAGGGTTTTGACATAACTTGTTTCACACTTTTAAACTTCAAGCTATAAATTCTCTAAATTCCTTTTTGGAACTACTCTATTTTGACGTCTTTGAAGTTATCTGCTTTACCTGTTTCCATATCTTACTGGGTGGTTTCTCCAGCCCTGATCTCCTTTCTCTTGGCCTGTGAGAAGCCTACGATTGGCAAACACTGGGTGTTGACAGTGATAACCATGTGCTCTACGTGGGTGTTTAACCATCACCTTCAAACTGAATGTTGAAAATCAATTCATTCTTCCAACAGAGCTGATTTCCCTGCCTAATTACTCCTTTTCTTTCACAGTTCTCAGTCCAGTTCAACTCTTTCGGTTCCCCCTTGTCCCCTGCTAATTCGCATCTTTCTACCTTTCATGGTTCTGTTCCTCCTAGCTAGAATTTCCTACCTTTTTTTCTCTTTCAGATGAGAGCCAACATATCTTCTTTGTAAAACCTATTCAGGTGATTAAGACATCACTATATCCCCAGATATGTCAAAAGAAGGCATATTTGCTAAGTGTTAGAGCATTTGGGGAAAAAAATAAAATGTATCCTCTGAATCGTGGATCGGCAAACTATGACCCACAGGCCAAATCAACCCCGCCACCTATGTTGTAAAATATTTATTGGAACACAGCCATGTGCATTTGTTTATGTATTGTATTATCTTGCTACTTTATGATCAGCAAAGCCTAAGAGATTTACTTTCTGGCCCATTACAGAAAAAAAAATTTGCCACCCTTTGCTCTAAATTAACACCTGTTAAACCAGAGTACACCAAAGATTTTTGCCCAAGCTTCACTTGATCTTTCTATATCAGGCCAGGCCAATTCAAACAAGAATTAACTACACATTTTCTAGAGCCTAAATTTTTTATATGTTTATAACCAGAGGCATAATAACAGATAAGCAGTGAACATTTCATTAATTTCATTAATTTCTTTTAAGCATGGTGTATTTTTTATTTGTAGTACTTGGAACTTAGAGATGAGGCATCAGGTATTTCATGTTTAAATTCTTTCTGTGCTCCTGTGTTTTCTGAAATCTTTAATGCCAGAGAATTTGATGCAAACATTTTTCTATAACTAAAACTGGAATCTTCTTTCTTACCTCCACTTTATAAACAATGGTAGTTTCCCAAAACTTCATTTTGTAGAAAATTAAAGTAATGCTTCAGTTTTATTCTCTTCCACCTCTTCCTCCAAGAGTCTGGGTTTTTTTTTTTTTTGACTAAGAAAATGATATTCCCTTTCCATCTATTTAGATCATAGTTTTAATTAGTATTTAGAAAATTTGAAGTCATGTTTTAGAACTCATTTCAAACTTCCTCATCACTTACTAGTAACAAAGATTGAAATGCAACAGATAGTGAATGGAAGGAATGTATCTTCATCTTGGGCCCTCATATGCTCCCCTTGCATAAAATCTCATCTGCAGCTGTACACTGTCTCCTCAGCCAGAATTTCAGTGACGGTGCTCATTCACAAATACCAGTAGCCATTCTAAGGGGAGGAATTGAAGGAAAAAAGAAAAAGTAGGGTTAGAAATAGTTAAGGGGGCTAAAGCTTATTCTGGAATACATGTAGAAATATTTCCAGTTAAGGTTTGGGAGTGGTAAAAGAAGGTAAGGAGTAATAATGAAGATAGCCCCAATGTTAATAATTGCTCCCTAAATCTGAGCGCCTATACTGCAATCCTAGCTTTGATATAATGTTAATTACAGAGCAAAGGCTTTACTGATGATACATTAGAGAAAGGAAAGCATTAAGAAATCTCATTCAAAATAAGTTAAATGAACAAATTAAACCCAAGAATCTGGCAGTAGCTTCCAAAATCACAAATGCTTTCTTCCTTTGGCCCAGCGATCCTACTCTGGAACTCTGTCCTACAGATACAACTGTTCATGTATGAAATTACACGTTCAAGTTTATTTGGTGCAGCATTGTTTGTAATAGCAAAAGATTAGACACAATCCAAGTATTCAGCAGTAAAGGACTAGATCATAAAATCAGAAAGGCATTGAGAAAGTTCAACCGGATGAAAACATGTCCCTTGTCATGTGTATAATAATCTACAAAATAATATGAAAAAGCAGGAAATACAGCCCCGGAAAGTTGCTACCAGGGGATGGTAAATGGGAAGTAGTTGTGCCTTACTAATTTTTACTGTTACAAAATACCAGATTTTTAAAATTATTTTAATACTTAGTTTAATACATTAAAAACATTTAGAGGCTTGTATATATTGCCTTGTTTTGATTCCCATTCCCATTTGATTTTTACTCCCATGTAAACTGAAGATACTATTATGGTGTTCAGGTACCTACTCTCATGTTTGAGTAAGAATTACACTGACTCCTAGAGTTCATTCCTTCACCTTTGAGCTAAGGATGGGATGATTAGGACAAAAGTTAATTAGTACATTTCTTTTTTTAAAAAAAAGTGTTTCCACAGAGAAATAGCAATTTAAATTGTATTTAACATTTATACTCTACAACTTCTTAAAAAGGATTCAAGAATGATAAAAATTGGAAATTTGTTCTGTGATGAAGTTTGTCTCAGTGAACACTGTTACAGGCAGATGCTTGGACCAGATTTATGAAAAGAGGAAAACAATTACAGTGTAGATTCTAGATTCATGTCAGTCAAGTAATAGAATTTCATAATAGGTAAAGTGTGTGGGATACAGGTTTGTGAAGGATCCAAATAACACTGAATTTTGTGTTTATTTTTGATTAATTGTAATAATACTGCTTACCTTTTAAAGAAATTAGTCATGATAGAGAATTAGTTTTATGGGAAAAAGAACTCTGCCTTTTGGATATTTAAGAAAAGTTAAAATTCTGAACATGCAAGAGCTAGATTGTTGATCTGTGCATAAGTATTGAAATAAAATGCTTCCTAAATAACTTTCAAATGCATTCCTATGTAATTATTTGCTGTCATATCTCTTGATTTGAGTTTTAAATATTTGAAAATGAGTATATTTTCAGTTATATTTCTTTTTACTTGGACAATAATATAAAGCAAAACTATCAGTCATTAATTGTAGATTCCACCTAATAGTATTACCAATATAATATTAGACTTTTCAAGCTTTATATAAAACTTTATTTCATTCTTACAACAATTCTCTGTGGTTGTAGTATTCCCATTTTTCAGATGTGAAATGAAGGCCCAGAGAGTTTGACTTATCTAGCTATACGCTTATGATATAAATAGAACACATAGTCTTCTGACTCCAAATGTCATCATTTCTTCACCCTAGCCTAATTTGTTTATTTTTAGTGTCATGTGTATTATAGCTCATTGATAGCACACTTTTTTATCTTTTCAGGATATGGCTTTAGTTGCCCCTGAGGCTCCTTCAGAACAAGCCAGAAGAGTTTTTCAAACTTACGATCCAGAAGGTAAAAGATTTTATTATTTTATTAACTCTGTGTTTTATATCTTTATGTATTCGAAATATATTGATACTTTCCTGAGTTGTATTTTAAAGAGTTATTGGATTAGTGAATGAACGGTAGCTCACATTTCTTGAAAACTTTAAATGGGAAAGGGTGAAAATGGGAACAAACTAACAGAATACTTCATTGATCATCAGAGTCTCACGTGGTATAAGGTTTTCATGTTTCTTAGGGTACGAATGTTATGGTTACTTGAATCTTGACCTCTGATGATGTTAAACAAGGAAAAAAACTACCTCTGAATAAGCTCTTTGAAAGTTAAGTCATTTATTTATTCAAATGAATAAATGTTCCAGAATATTTTTTAATTGAGATATAATTTATATATAACATTATTTTTGTAAGGTTAAG